CACAGTCTCTGTATGAGAGACTCGAACGATAAAATTGTTAATTCAGAGATTCGAGTCTCTCACAGAGAGACTGAATGAATAAAACTGAAAAATTGAGAGACTCGAGTCTCTCGTAGAAAGACTGGGATCTCTGAAATATGTTGAATTTAGAAAAATTTAACCATGTCTGTCGAGACACCACTTACTGAGAGATTCCAGTCTCTCGTTCAGAGATTCGAGTCTCTCGTTCAGAGACTGGATACGAAATGAGGATCTCTCTATGAGCGACTCGAATCTCTCGTTCAGAGACGCTAAACAGTTTTTTTGACAGTCTCTCGACAGTCTCTCTCAGCGACACCAGAGAGACTCGATGAGAGACGGAGACTCGAATCTCGCTTTCAGAGACTCTGAGAGACTAAACATTTTTATCTCATTACCATTATAAGGTCGTCAGTCCTAAGACTTGTTGGACACGCACCTCCACTATTTCCTATCCTGAGCTAATCTTCGTATTTTCTTAAAACTAAAAACGATAAAATTATACATCTAATAGAAGCTGATATTTTATTAACCCTGTTCTTTTTCATAATTTAGTTCCAGTAATTCGATCGAGAAGGAAATATAAGTGTTTGGAGTACCTACATGTTCAGCAATATCTTAAAAAATGTAATACTTAAAAATTTCCAAATTATTTTTCGTTGGTTCTGTATTACTGAACCTATCAAATATCCAATATTTTGGCTTTAAATAATAATCGCCATTATTTTTCTTGTATTCTTAAGGTAGAAAACTTTCCATCTATCTTTGAATTGTCGATTCTTGCCGCAAATAAATTGGAATATATTACACAGGTAAGCGAAATTTTTAAGTTGATAGCATGTATAGGGTTCCTCAAAAACTCGTTAAACAACTTCTGAAGAAACTAGTATACAATGACGTAATGTTTATAAACTTGCTGTCCTTACAGAGAAAACCGATCCTTTGAAGCAACCGCTTAAGAAAAAGAAGCCCCTTGAACGTTTGAATACAAACACGGACTCTAGGTATTCAGTTAATTACTTACTTACCGGAATAATGAGTCGCCCTTAAAGACATAATGGAAGATCTTAAAAATTCCTCTGTTATTATAAAATTTAGTTGAGTGAAAAGTAGGTTTTGCATTAACGTTACCGTGTCGAGTAAAGAAAAGGTAAAAAGAAGAAGAAAAGAAACGGAAGCGATGGGATAGAATAAAAGCGGCTTGAGACAGGCAAGTCATGTAAACCGCACAAAACGGCCCAGTTTGTGTGGATGGCTTCTTTGAATCGCGCTCGGGCTGTTTCAAATGTAAAAAGAGTTCGCTGGTGACACGTTCCTTTACTTTTATTACAGAAATTACAGCTCAACAGTGTTGTTTTCATTTAAGCTTCGTAGATTATTTATCCCGGTCGGACAGCTTAAATAGCCTATATTAAGTAGCCTACTTTACGAAGATTGAACTACCAGATGTATTCGCAATAAATTTCGCTGTATACTTTCGGTTTTGTATTGTAAATCTGAATTCCAGTCGCAACATAGAACAAAACAGTAACCACTAACTGTTATTAATGTGAAATTTTGCCTCTCAAGAATGTAAATTACTTCTATTATGAGGTGCTGGTATGTAGTTTAGTAGTTGAGGAGCACGGGGTAGTTAGAGTCAGTGGGGAATTATATTAGTTAGTCTATTTAGTAGACAAGTTGCTTTTTGTATGTAACAACTTTCCCTTTTAGTATTTCAACTTATTAGAGTTTGACTCTACAATTATTTCGGTAATAATAAAAAGACACTTGGAAAGTTTTACTAAATTTTATTACGAACCAGATGTACATTTCGCTTTCTAGGGCATCTTCAGGAGTATTTTTATTATTACTTATTATGAGTTTACTCACCATGAGTTTCCGGCTAATTATTTTCATAATTATTTCCACTTATAAGGCGTTACATAAGTATATATATCTTTAAGTAAGTGTCTTTGTTTTTTAATTCCTAAGAATGCTNGACTCTGAGGGACTAAACATTTTTATCTCATTACCATTATAAGGTCGTCAGTCCTAAGACTTGTTGGACACGCACCTCCACTATTTCCTATCCTGAGCTAATCTTCGTATTTTCTTAAAACTAAAAACGATAAAATTATACATCTAATAGAAGCTGATATTTTATTAACCCTGTTCTTTTTCATAATTTAGTTCCAGTAATTCGATCGAGAAGGAAATATAAGTGTTTGGAGTACCTACATGTTCAGCAATATCTTAAAAAATGTAATACTTAAAAATTTCCAAATTATTTTTCGTTGGTTCTGTATTACTGAACCTATCAAATATCCAATATTTTGGCTTTAAATAATAATCGCCATTATTTTTCTTGTATTCTTAAGGTAGAAAACTTTCCATCTATCTTTGAATTGTCGATTCTTGCCGCAAATAAATTGGAATATATTACACAGGTAAGCGAAATTTTTAAGTTGATAGCATGTATAGGGTTCCTCAAAAACTCGTTAAACAACTTCTGAAGAAACTGAGAAACAAAATATCATGCTATTTTAGTCTAAAAGGAAAGAAGCTGGCGAAACAAAGCTCCTCAAGTGGCAAAGCAAACCACTTAAGGATTTTCGTTTCCTCAACTAATGGAAAAATGGAATCCTTTTTCAATTCACGCTGCAACAAAAATAAAGCTTGTCATGGTTGTATTTTCTTTAAAAACACACCCTTTCAGTGACATTTAAAAAGGATTTAAGACCTAATCCGAAAACTTCAGCAGCTAAGTTTATGAGAAATTTTGAAAAAGTCAATTAAAAATGAAAAATAAATTTTACCAAGAAATAATTTCATGATTCATTATAATGCTTTACACTGTAATGGTAAATTATATCTACCCTTCGAAACAAACGAATATTTTTATTCAACACAGATTTCGCACATTTTCTAATCCTCCCTTATCATTTACATCAGTTCGTTACAAACCCTACATTACAAATAAATTTTAGGGTGCTGTTCCATATTAAACATTTGCGATGAGACAAGAATTTTAAATCATTTGAATGTAAAGTAATTATTTTTGTTTTTATCCGCAAAATAATTAAGTGGTATCTTTGCCTTAATGGAATTATACATTTATAATAAACAACCGCTATCATATCATCAAATTAAATAAAGTGTACCTACTGTGTTACAAAACAAAAAAAAAAACTTTTAAGACTAGTTGTGTCTCAAGAAAATAGTAAATGCTTATTGTTTAATAGACTCACTCAAACCCAAACTCACGTAAATTTTCATCATCTTCCAGTTTTAGCAAGTTGAACGAAAGTGAAGATAATCTACCTAAATTACCGACTTACTCTATCCCAGCATCAGTATACATTTTTTATTTAATTTAAAAAGTTTATTTCATTAATAAACTGTAAGGGTACACAACTTACTTTCAACGATCTTCTGGAAAATTTTGTTTAAATTAACATTTAAGCTGTTTACTTTGCTTACCGTCTTTAAAATCGTTATTGTTTACGTTTGAATTCGAATGCAGGAAATACTTAGATAAAATAATAATTCGTTCATTAATCTTCCACGTTACCGCTTGGTTCTTAAATTAATTATAAAGGAAAATTTCCAAGGAGGAAGCTACCCTTTAACCTGCGCTGTCGTTTTTCCACAAGAATTATTGACAGTAAAATTCGAACCCATTGCGTGCCATAAATTAGGAATGAGATACGAGGGAAGGTGGGGTAGTGACGCGTCAAATCGACGTTTGGCGTCGTTCGCGTGGAATCAGTTTCCGACGTCGGAAGGGATGACGCCGGCGTCGCCGTCGTGTCGCTTTTGATTTTGTCCTACTGACCTGAAAACGGTGGTGGGCCGTCGTAGTGGCATGTTCGGCAGAGCGACTAAGGTAGGATGCAGTGGCGCGGCGGCTAAAGCTGCCCAAAGATCTGGGCGGCGTAAAGCTGTAGCCGATGCTTCGTTTGCTAGGAGGGTGTATGTATGCCAGTGGGCCTGCAAAAGCAGGCCGCGCAACGCTTGGACTAGTTCACGACCCTCTGGGGTCAGTTGAACCTCCAGGAAACTCGACTCCTGCAACAAAACATTTCGGAGTCATACACAACCAATGCAAAATGGTTTATAAGGGTGAATTCCATTGCAATAAATGCTTTTAGTAGAAAAGCTGATGGCTTGAGACTGTTAAAGAGATTTAAATTAAAAACTTTTAATCTGTTTCACAAAATATAGTGTAAACCCTATATAACGACACTTGAGGGACTGAACATTTTTCGGCATTATAAATAGTGGTCGTTAAATGGAGAGAAATGAAAGATATTATTTTACTATTCTATAATAATATGCATTTACTAATATAGTACACATTTTGCACACGAACATTATTATTCACACATTGTGTATAGCCTGTTATCTTCGTCTGACGTTTTTTGCTGCTCCAATATTCTAATTGAATTTTGTTACGTATCTTACTCATATCTTGAGATACTGCTGGATCAACTTGATTATATAAATTGTATTTTTTTAATAGTTTCGCTGCATCAAGTGCTTGTTTGATGCTTGGTGGAGGGACAGGATCGTCTTCTTCAACAACGTACACAGCTGCAGTTCTTATCTATTTCGGCAACTTAGAAAGTACTGCTTAATGATTTATAATGCCGCATTGTTGTCGTNAACTAATACCAGTCAATTTGGGAAATAAATGGTATCATCACTATATTGTTTGGTAGAACAGATTCTTCTGCAGATGATAATAATTGTTTGTATTCTACTGACAAAATAAAAATAGATAATATACATATACAGTGTATTTTCTTTGTTGTTGAGTTTATGTTCTCGTTAAATTTGAAAGATATATGATTGCAATGTTTCAAAAGAAAATAACACAAACGTCTGCATTCAAAATGACCCGCATGTATTACAAATCGATTTCTTCAACGTCTAGAGTCTAGAGAATTCATGTGTCTGTAATAGAAATTGAACTAAAATGAGGTTGTAAAAATCAAAATCCAACCAAGTGCAAGCATTCATTCACACATCAAGGTTTTCTTACTGTAAAAAGTAACTTTTTTACCAGTAAATACTTTTTTAATAAGATTTGATATTAAACCTAGTCAAAATTAATAACAGTAAGAAGCAATATATCATCATTATACTTTTCTTGGGATTATCTTTAATAATAAAAAGATCTAGATCAGGGGTTAATCTTCCACGCTATTTTAAAATCCTTAAATTAAACGCTAATTTGGGCTTACATTCCTAATGATAAATATCAATTAACGACTGCCATCTAAGGAAGTTTCTGATAACAAATTTTACATAATACACCTTAATACCTACGTATACGTATATTATTTTTAAAACTACGTGTTAATTTCGCCATCAAAAGTCAATGAAATTGTGCTTGGTATGTTATGATTTTATAAAATGCAAATCGCATATTACATAGTTGTCAAAGAGATTTAGACGCGTGATTGCCTGCAATAAGTCGAAGAGGTGTTATCTCGTACGTACGAGATACAGAAATATTGGATTATGCAAATTGGCATAGATAGGAATCGGCGTCTCCAAAAGAAAAACAATAATTTTTATGTTTAAAAGGAACCATGTTCTTTTTTAACTTTACGAAACACGAAATTTGTAAGGATAAAGAATAACATTTACAATATTGTACATTTGGGACAATTCCCCCTATCTATAATAAAAATAAGCACATTTAATGTCGAACTTTCGTTCAGGAGAATTGCTTCAGTCATAAAGCAGAAAAAAATTTTGAAGTTACATTTCCGATATTTCGGCAAAATGTAGATAAATGAATGCTATTTATATTCTATAAACATTCACATGTTCTATTTTCATTTCAGAAATAGATTGGTTTTCGGATATATAGGTAATATATTTTTCTGGAGTCGTATAAGTAAAATTTTCATTATACTTATTTTATGTGACAAAAATTGACACTAAAACTTCGAGTTCTTTCATATCTTTTGAAAAACGTTCCATTTTATTATGGTAATAAATGAGGCAAAAATAATGGTTCAAACCTTTCTTTTTATGTTGAAGGAAAACATTTGGAATGGCCCCTTGTCATTATGATGCTGCCATGTGGTAACAAAAAATTGTATTTCTTTGTTCTATTTATACTGCTTCTGGCTAAACGGCACAGGCTTAGGATAAAGGCGGATGTAATGGAAGTGTGATTTTAGAAGGTTTTTCTTTTAAGATTTTCCTGTTCTTTCTCTTCTAAAATCAGGAATGAAATACATTAAAGTTTAAGCTTTAATAGGGAATTAAAAAACATCACTTCTTTATAAGGTTCTACATCAGAAAAAGATTTGTTAATCGAAATCAATAAATATTGGTTTTCATAAAAAATTCACGTCTTCCTATACGAGGGTGGATTGATAAGTTTCCGGCCTAACCAAGAGATGACGCCACTAGGCCTACCTTGAGGTGACATTCTATAGTACCATCCTTTGATAGCTTGTAGCTATAGTTTCAGCCCGATCTCCTTGCTAGTGTAGGTTTGACAGCACGCTGAACAAGACGCCTCTGTGGTTTTCGTAAAAATGGAAAAGCAGGAAAATCGTGCTGTCATCAAATACTTTTATTTGAAGGGGTTAACGCCGAAGGAAATTAAAAAAGAGATGGACTCAACACTGGGGACATCCTCCCCGTCATATTCAACCGTTAAGCAGTGGGTTTCCGAGTTTAAAAAGGGTCGTGTGAGCACCTCTGATGGGCCTCGCTCAGGACGCCCCGTTGAGGTCACAACTCCAGATATGATCGAAAAAATTCATCAAATAGTGCTGGGAGACCGCAGATTGAAAGTGCGTGAGATAGCTGAGACCTGTAAGATGTCATATGAACGTGTGCAACATATTTTGCACCAACATTTGCATATGGAAAAGCTCTGTGCAAGATGGGTGCCGCGTTTGCTAACAGTCGACCAAAAATTGATTCGAAAAAACATTTCTACCGCAAATTTGTCATTGTATAAGCGTAATCCAAGCGAATTTTTGCGTCGATTCGTAACCGTTGACGAAACGTGGGTCCACCACTACACTCCTGAAACCAAAGAACAGTCTAAACAGTGGATTGGACCAGGGGAACCAACTCCAAAGAAGGCAAAAACAATTTTTTCGGCGAACAAGGTTATGGCTACTGTTTTTTGGGATGCAAGAGGTATTATATACATTGATTACCTTGCAAAGGGTAATACTATCACTGGTCAATACTACGCAGACTTATTGCAACGTTTGAGCCACGAGGTGAAAATTAAACGACCTCATCTGGCGAAGAAAAAAATCTTGTTTCATCACGATAACGCACCAGCGCACACGTCAATCGTTGCGACGGCTAAAATCAACGATCTAAAGTTTGAATTGATGCCGCACCCTCCTTACTCTCCAGACCTAGCCCCGAGTGACTATTTTCTGTTCCCTAATCTCAAAAAATGGCTTGGCGGTAAGAGATTTGCGGACAATGAAGAAGTAATCGAAGCTGTAAATGGTTATTTTGAGGAGCTTGACGAATCAGTCTATAGAGATGGCATTAATAGACTGGAACACCGCTATGAGAAATGTATCAGCCTTGGAGGAGATTATGTTGAGAAATAAAAAAAAAAAATTTTTAAAAACCTTGTTTTTCTTGGTCAGGCCGGAAACTTATCAATCCACCCTCGTATTTATCAATCTAGTTGTTAAAATTACGATTAGCATGACGATTAGCATGAGCTATTAATCTTCTCAATTAAGTAACACATTTTCTTGGTTTTCATTTTTCTGTCTTTCTATCATTACTTGCATGAGTTATTTGGTGAAATAGAGGAGAACAATACGCTCTTAGAATATGTTTGCAAAATCAATAATGACATTAGCAACACTGGCAGGGTAAAAGCGATAAGCTTTAAATTTAAACGACGTGGCTTTTTTATAATTCTCGTTTAAAAAATGTTGGCAACACGCTCTGCGGACGAACAAAAGTTGTAAAGCTTCAACCATGAAATTATATTACAAAACTTTAAACTTTATTGAATTCCTGGCAGTTATCGGTTATTTTAAAACCCCCTTATGTCATCATTGTTCTGAAATTGAAATGAAAAACTAATACCAATCAATTTAGGAAATAAATGGCATCATCACTATATTGTTTGGTAGAACAGATTCTTCTGCAGATGATAATAATTGTTTGTATTCTACTGACAAAATAAAAATAGATAATATACATATACAGNTCATCATTGTTCTGAAATTGAAATGAAAAACTAATACCAGTCAATTTGGGAAATAAATGGTATCATCACTATATTGTTTGGTAGAACAGATTCTTCTGCAGATGATAATAATTGTTTGTATTCTACTGACAAAATAAAAATAGATAATATACATATACAGTGTATTTTCTTTGTTGTTGAGTTTATGTTCTCGTTAAATTTGAAAGATATATGATTGCAATGTTTCAAAAGAAAATAACACAAACGTCTGCATTCAAAATGACCCGCATGTATTACAAATCGATTTCTTCAACGTCTAGAGTCTAGAGAATTCATGTGTCTGTAATAGAAATTGAACTAAAATGAGGTTGTAAAAATCAAAATCCAACCAAGTGCAAGCATTCATTCACACATCAAGGTTTTCTTACTGTAAAAAGTAACTTTTTTACCAGTAAATACTTTTTTAATAAGATTTGATATTAAACCTAGTCAAAATTAATAACAGTAAGAAGCAATATATCATCATTATACTTTTCTTGGGATTATCTTTAATAATAAAAAGATCTAGATCAGGGGTTAATCTTCCACGCTATTTTAAAATCCTTAAATTAAACGCTAATTTGGGCTTACATTCCTAATGATAAATATCAATTAACGACTGCCATCTAAGGAAGTTTCTGATAACAAATTTTACATAATACACCTTAATACCTACGTATACGTATATTATTTTTAAAACTACGTGTTAATTTCGCCATCAAAAGTCAATGAAATTGTGCTTGGTATGTTATGATTTTATAAAATGCAAATCGCATATTACATAGTTGTCAAAGAGATTTAGACGCGTGATTGCCTGCAATAA